ATAAAGCCCTTTTTACATCAGCAGATGTTACAAAGTGCTATACAGAAACCCAGCCTAAAACCCCAAACAGCAAGCAATGCAGATGTAGAAGCACAACTGTCCCAGAGTGTTTGGAATAGGCTATTCCTTGACAAGTTGACCAATACAATAGGTCAACTTTTCTACTATGGGAGATAGTAGATTGACATAGGCTAGTGATTTTGCTGTTCGTTACCCATCTTGTTGGTTGAGGAAAAGTAAATGTGGACAGTTATTCTAACATCTTCAAAGTGCACATCAGAATTCGGTAAGAAGCACTGCACGTCGTTCCATCCTCGACTTGCATGTTCTGTTAATATGAATTACCATAATCGAAATGTGATTTCTGTCATTCTGAGCACCGTGGGTGGACGCGCTAATCTGGTTACGAATCCAATGCATATGGGTCTGGCATATTCCTCAAATGTCTGGTAAATTAAAATGTTGCCGGTCAAATGTCCGGAGCCACATTTTCCTAATGGAAACCCTGGTGCACACACACACACACACACACACACGCACACACTAGGTTTGTAGCGTAGTGAGTCAAGGTGTTTATTTTCCTAGAAACAACCTTCTGAGTATTCCCAGAACCTCATCTCACAGAGTGTGTTTAACTGTAAAGATGGACTGCATGTGTCACTCTGTGTTTTCTTCTTCTGTGGTGTTTACATATCCTGCTACCTTAAGAGCCTCTCTCTGTCAATCACCACCACTCACTCTACCCCCCCAACCCTCCTCCCAACCAAAGTTCCCTATCCGGGACTGCGGTGCAGAATAAATATCAGCCTGCGCAGAGAAGCAGGAGATTGAACTTCACTCAACTTTCTAACGTTTTCTACGTTTGTTAACACTATCAATGTTTCCCTCTACTGTTTCAATGCCACATACCGAAACAAAACAAACTATGCAAGACTTAACTAACTATGCAAGAGATTTTGTTGCAGGCTGAACTTATCGGAGTAGGATTCTATTGCATTGACAGGCACTACTCAGCCCGTACTCTACACAGACCGGTGCACCATAACCAATCAGAGCTGCAGTAGGCCTATATGCAAATAGACCATTGCCATATTTGGATCTGTGCCATTCACTTTGAACTAGAGTGTTTACAGCATGAGCGGTCGTGAGTAGATGCGCTTGTTTTGTTTCAAAGCGAGAGCTGCATGGAGCCATGTGTGCACATTTTGTTCATATCCTTTGCTAGCTAGTGAGTTATTAGCCCAGTTACAGATCATTTGTAGTCAGCATTAGGGGAGTGATTACTTCCTACAAAAGCACAAAACGTGTGCATTTCTAGCCATCTTTGAAAAGTGAGTCAAGGAAAGAGCTTTTTTTTGTCTTAAAGGGGCAGTGTTGTATTTTGAGACAGAGTTGAATAAGCTAAGTAGCCAATAGGCAGAGGGTGACATAATTTGTCTGATTCTCTGTATAATGGTATGGGAATAATGATGCATTTTATTTTGTAAAGTGGTTTCTTGCATCAAACAACACAACAACATTTTCAGTCACCTCCTTGTCGGAAGGACAAGTGGATAAACAGGTTAATGTCAAGCCCTGCGTGTTTTTTTCAATGGTCTCATGGATTTAGGCCTACATTGAACGCCACACATTGGCTGCTGTGTAGGCTGAATGATATGCCTTCTATTTCCATGTTAAAATGTTATGGGATGTATTTTCTCCATTGTTTTTGGAGGTAAGCCACTCTGGTAGGCCTACATTATGATCAAATAGCCACAGTACCCTATTTGACCACTGTTCAATTGTAATTTAAAGTGGGTACAGCCTCAGTGTTCACAGTAAACGCACGCCGGAAGTTGCACAGAATTTTCACAATGTTCAAGTTTGCGCTCAGCAGACCTGAAATTTGCTCAGTGCCTAAAAGTATTTGAGGGAACATTGTTCCCAACCTAAACCTGGGATCCCTCTTAAAACATTACTCCCTCCCTCTCTCCCCTGATGGTGCGCAGCCTTAAAAGGCTTCCCCAGCTGGATGGTTTCTCTCTAATGATGGAGACTGTGTTATTACTGAGTGTCCTCTACTGTAAACAATCCTCTACTCCCCGACCCGCATCCTTCACAGAACACTTCTCCTATCCTCCTGATTTACACACTCTGAGATGCTCCTACATATACAGAGGGTCGCTAGGGGAAGACAACACATGCAGTGTAATACAGACACTCGCACACTCACACACACACCCACACTAATACAGACACTCACACACACACACTAATACAGACACCTACACTAATACAGACACCCACACGTATACAGACACTCACACTAATATAGACACCCACACTAATACAGACACCCACACTAATACAGACACTCACACTAATAAAGACACCCACACTAATACAGACACCCACACTAATACAGACACCCACACTAATACAGACACCCACACTAATAAAGACACCCACACTGATACAGACACTCACACTAATAAAGACACCCACACTAATACAGACACCCACACTAATACAGACACCCACTCTAATACAGACACCCACACTAATAAAGACACCCACACTGATACAGACACTCACACTAATAAAGACACCCACACTAATACAGACACCCACACTAATACAGACACCCACACTAATACAGACACCCACACTAATACAGACACCCACACTAATACAGACACTAACACTAATACAGACACCCACACTAATACAGACACCCACACTAATACAGACACCCACACTAATACAGAAACCCACACTAATACAGACACCCACACTAATACAGACACCCACACTAACACAGACACCCACACTAATACATATATCCACTAAAAGAGGAAAGAGGACTTGGCTGTAGTCTGTATTCTCCCAGGTCCTTTTTGTCACTGGGTTTTATGTGTGTGTGCATGTGCATGTGTGCTTGTGTACAGTCGTGGTCAAAAGTTTTGAGAATTACACAAATATTAATTTTCACAAAGTTTGCATATACTCCAGAATGTTATGAAGAGTGATCAGATGAATTGCAATTAATTGTAAAGTCCCTCTTTGCCATGAAAATGAACTTAATCCCAAAACAACATTTCCACTGCATTTCAGCCCTGCCACAAAAGGACCAGCTGACATCATGTCAGTGATTCTCTCGTTAACACAGGTGAGAGTGTTGACGAGGACAAGGCTGCAGATCACTCTGTCATGCTGATTGAGTTAGAATAACAGACTGGAAGCTTTAAAAGGAGGGTGGTGCTTGAAATCATTGTTCTTCCTCTGTTAACCATGGTTACCTGCAAGGAAACACGTGCCGTCATCATTGCTTTGCACAAAAAGGGCTTCACAGGCAAGGATATTGCTAGTAAGATTGCACCTAAATCAACCATTTATCGGATCATCAAGAACTTCAAGGAGAGAGGTTCAATTGTTGTGAAGAAGGCTTCAGGGCGCCCAAGAAAGTCCAGCAAGCGCCAGGACCGTCTCCTAAAGTTGATTCAGCTGCGGGATCGGGGCACCACCAGTGCAGAGCTTGCTCAGGAATGGCAGCAAGCAGGTGTGAGTGCATCTGCACGCACAGTGAGGCAAAGACTTTTGGAGGATGGCCTGGTGTCAAGAAGGGCAGTGAGGAAGCCACTTCTCTCCAGGAAAAACATCAGGGACAGACTGATATTCTGCAAAAGGTACAGGGATTGGACTGCTGAGGACTGGGGTAAAGTCATTTTCTCTGATGAATCCCCTTTCCGATTGTTTGGGGCATCCGGAAAAAAGCTTGTCCGGAGAAGACAAGGTGAGCGCTAGCATCAGTCCTGTGTCATGCCAACGGTAAAGAATCCTGAGACCATTCATGTGTGGGGTTGCTTCTCAGCCAAGGGAGTGGTCTCACTCACAATTTTGCCTAAGAACAGAGCCATGAATAAAGAATGGTACCAACACATCCTCCGAGAGCAACTTCACCCAACCATCCAAGAACAGTTTGGTGACGAACAATGCCTTTTCCAGCATGATGGAACACCTTGCCATAAGGCAAAAGTGATAACTAAGTGGCTCGGGGAACAAAACATCGATATTTTGGGTCCATGTCCAGGAAACTCCCCAGACCTTAATCCCATTGAGAATTTGTGGTCAATCCTCAAGAGGCGGATGGACAAACAAAAACCCACAAATTCTGACAAACTCCAAGCATTGATTATGCAAAAATGGGCTGCCATCAGTCAGGATGTGGCCCAGAAGTTAATTGACAGCATGCCAGGGTGGATTGCAGAGGTCTTGAAAAAGAAGGGTCAACACTGCAAATATTGACTCTTCGAATAAACTTAATGTAATTGTCAATAAAAGCCTTTGACACTTATGGAATGCTTGTAATTATACTTCAGTATACCATAGTAACATCTGACAAAAATATCTAAAAACACTGAAGCAGCAAACTTTGTGAAGACCAAAACTTTTGACCACGACTGTACATACGTGTGTGTGCATGCATTGGGGTTGTATTGTGTGTGTCTGAGCATGTTTTTGTGTGAGTGGTATGTCATTAGTATTGTAAGGCACCTATTTTGCAGCTGGAGTTGACTTCCTCTCTGTGTGAGTGGAAGTGATGTAATCCTTCTGTACTCTGTCGTTGTTTGACTGAGTGGTGACGCACAACACTAATGCCCGTCAGTTACTCCACATGTCTCTGGCTTTACACTGGGTTTGAAATGGTAGAGCTGAGAAGAGGGGAACACACTCACATGGTGACATCAAATGGCCACGTTCCATGTATAAATAAACTACAAACCCACTGCCGTGCCTGGGTTGTTTTCTCTATGCTATTGTAATCTGTTTCTGTCTTTTCTGTACACTCTCTGCAAAGAAAAGAGCCCACACTCAACCCAAATACTGCCTCGTAGATGGAGTGTTTGTTTCGTGCCATTTCTCTTTGAACTAAATTTGAACTGTTTCTACCAACTATTACTATCAAGTACATCAGTGAACTGAGATTCACCTTAACCTAATCTCCCTCTCTGTCCCTCAGGGGGACAGCAGACTGGTTCGGGGTCAGTAAGGAAAACGATAGCACCCAGCGATGGAGGAGGAAGAGCCTGCAGCATTGCAACCTGCGCTACGGCCGTCTCAAGGCCCAGGTGATGAGGGAGATGGAGCTGTCCAGCCAGGACAACCTGTCTCTGACCAGCACTGAGACCCCACCACCCCTCTACCTCCCCCCACACCACCATCCCCACCACCACCACCACCCCTATGCCATGCAGAGGGTAGGGCAGCGCCGCCCACAGACATACATTCATAGACTCTCTTTATATCTCTCTCTTTCTCTGTCTCTTGCCATACAGTTGAAGTCGGAAGTTTACATACACTTAGGTTGGAGTCATTAAAACTTGTTTTTCAACCACAAATTTCTTGTTAACAAACTATAGTTTTGGCAAATCGGTTAGGACATCTACTTTATGCATGACACAAGTAATTTATTTTTCCAACAATTGTTTACAGACAGATTATTTCACTTATAATTCACTGTATCACAATTCCAGTGGGTCAGAAGTTTACATACACTAAGTTGACTGTGCCTTTAAACAGCTTGGAAAATTCCAGAAAATGATGTCATGGCTTTAGAAGCTTCTGATAGGCTAATTGACATCATTTGAGTCAATTGGAGGTGGACCTGTGGATGTATTTCAAGGCCTACCTTCAAACTCAGTGTCTCTTTGCTTGACATCATGTGAAAATCAAAAGAAATCAGACAAGACCTCAGAAAAAAAATTGTAGACCTCCACAAGTCTGGTTCATCCTTGGGAGCAATTTCCAAATGCCTGAAGGTACCACGTTCATCTGTACAAACAGTAGTACGCAAGTATAAACACCATGGAACCACGCAGCCGTCATACCGCTCAGGAAGGAGACGCGTTCTGTCTCCTAGAGATGAACGTACTTTGGTGCGTAAAGTGCAAATCAATCCCAGAACAACAGCAAAGGACCTTGTGAAGTTGCTGAAGGAAACAGGTACAAATGTATCTATATACAGTAAAACGAGTACTATATTGACATAACCTGAAAGGCCGCTCAGCAAGGAAGAAGCCACTGCTCCAAAACTACGGTTTGCAACTGCACATGGGGACAAAGATCGTACTTTTTGGAGAAATGTCCTCTGGTCTGATGAAACAAAAATAGAACTGTTTGGCCATAATGACCATCGTTATGTTTGGAGGAAAAAGGGGGTGCTTGCAAGCCGAAGATAACCATCCCAACCGTGAAGCACGGGGGTGGCAGCATCATGCTGTGGGGGTGCTTTGCTGCAGGAGGGACTGGGCACTTCACAAAATAGATGGCATCATGAGGAAGAAAATTATGTGGATATATTGAAGCAACATCTCAAGACATCAGTCAGGAAGTTAAAGCTTGGTCGCAAATGGGTCTTCCAAATGGACAATGACCCCAAGCATACTTCCAAAGTTGTGGCAAAATGGCTTAAGGACAACAAAGTCAAGGTATTGGAGTGGCCATCACAAAGCCCTGACCTCAATCCTATAGAACATTTGTGGGCAGAACTGAAAAAGCGTGTGCGAGCAAGGAGGCCTACAAACCTGACTCAGTTACACCAGCTCTGTTAGGAGGAATGGGCCAAAATTCACCCAACTTATTGTGGGAAGCTTGTGGAAGGCTACCCGAAATGTTTGACCCAAGTTAAACAATTTAAAGGCAATGCTACCAAATACTAATTGAGTGTATGTAAACATCTGACCCACTGGGAATGTGATGAAAGAAAGAAAAGCTGAAATAAATAATTCTCTCTACTATTATTCTGACATTTCACATTCTTAAAATAAAGTGGTGATCCTAACTGACCTAAGACAGGGAATTTTTACTAGGATTAAATGTCAGGAATTGTGAAAAACTGAGTTTAAATGTATTTGGCCAAGGTGTATGTAAACTTCCGACTTCAACTGTACATCTGTGCATATGTCATGTCATGTGTTGTGCTGTGTTGTGTTCTGATTAAGGTGGTGTTGTGTTTCTTTACCCAATATCAATCCTATGTCTCTCCCTTGGGAACAATGACGTTATTCAATACAATTCAAAATAGATATCAGAATTGATATTTTGCTTATTTCGGGTGTTTGTTTCTGTGATGTAAGCTGATAAGCGTATTAATACATGGAGTAATGCAACTGTTAGAGGTCCATCACTATGGTAACCTGTGTATTGATATAACCATGAACTTGACCTGTCATGTAGCCTCTTACAAGAGCCCCATTGTTGTAACTATTCAAGTGAGTTTACCACCAAATAACCTAAAAGGATATACTTTCCTCCGTGGTGTTTACAATCGCATCGGACATGACAGTGTCTGCCTCTGTGTGTGTAGATTGTGGACCCCCTGGCGCGAGGCCGTGCATTCCGCATGGTGGAGGAGGTAGATGGTTACAGCGTACCCCAGACCCCCATCACCCCTGGTACCACCTCTCTCTGCTCCTTCTCCAGCTCGCGCTCCGCACTCAACAGGTTACCACGGCGACGCAAGCGAGAGTCCGTCGCCGTCATGAGCTTCAAGGCCGCCGCAGCGCTGGTCAAGGTGTGTGTCGCACAGACAGTGTCAGACGTGAGGATCAGAGTGTGTGTGTTTGTGTGTGTGTGTGTGTGTATGTGTGTGTGTGTGTGTCTGTGTGTGTGTGTGTGTGTGTTTGCAGGGAGCCGATGTGTTTCCTGCATGTTTACTACTGTACTGTTGATGAATCATCCCTGAAACTCCAGCAGCTGAGATATAACAGTTCTAGTAACAGACACTGCTTTGATCTAACTAAATGCATCATTGGGAGTCACCTTGACTCATATTTACTATCTCAAACCAAGTATGCAAACATCTTAGTCTCAGTAGTCTCAGTACCTCTTAGATGCTGCTTGTCTTTTATGACCCTGGTCACTGAACCGTTTCTGCTCTGTGGTCTTTGTTTAAATGGTGGCACACTAAAACACAGCAAAACCGTGCTGGATTGCATTGTTTGGTCTAGGCCTTGATCTCTTCCCCCAAAATGGTTGTTGAGATGGAAAAATGGCATGCATCGAGACTTAATCACATGACCCCAGTTTATTGTATTCTGCTTATGGACACGCGCGTGCACACACACACACACAAACGCACACACACAAACACACACACACAGAGTGTGTGTATGTTTATATCGTATAGGACGATTACCAATGTCAGTGTTATGTAAAAGTTGAGCCCCAGCTTGTCTTGTAGGATTAGGCTTTGGTGTAACAGCACTGTACAGAGGCTGTTCCTCTCTCCTGTCCTGTGGTGTCAGGCAGGGTGGTGGGGGGCACATAGGTAGATGACTAGGCTGGGGAGGGAGACTGTTTGCATCCCAAATGGCACCCTATTCCCTATTTAGTGCACTACTTTTGACCAGGGCCCCTGGTCAAAAGTAGTGCACTAAATAGGGCATAGGGTGCCATTTGGGACATAGACATTAACAGATGGCATTAGGACAACTCTACTGTCAGTCCCGTCCTCCAGTCAGAATGCTCAGCTGTGTGTCTGTTCTGTTAGCCAGTAGAATACTGTGTATTCTGAAACTGGAACATTGAACGCTGCAGGGCTAATCCAGCCTCCAGAGGTCAAAGCATCATAATCATCATGGCCACTGGCCACAGCTGGTTGTCAGGAGTCAGAGAGGACACAATCATTTGTGTTCTCTGGTCTGGGGCTTTGGGGATGCTGTCTGCCCTCTGTTTACTGGATGTGTTCTTAATCCCGGGTTGGGGTCAATTCCATTTCTATTTGAAATTAATTCACTTCCTGAACTGACTGAATGCAAGTGGAATTGACCCGTCATGGTCTCACTGTCACACACAACAGTAATGTAATATCATGCAATACATGTGTAACAGAGAGTATGTATTAGCGGTTACAACGACGGAGATGACGACGACGATGATGATGATGACGGTGATGACAGTGATGATAATGACGATGATGATGGTGTGTGTCAGGGCCGTACGGTGAGGGAGAGGGAGGGCGCTGCCCGGCGGTGTCGCAGGCGGAGCTTCATGCCAGTGAGTTTCCTGGAGGATGACACAGTGGACTTCCCTGACGAGCTGGACACCTCCTTCTTTGCTAGGGTGAGTAACACACACACATACACACACATTCCATCACACATTCACGCACAGATAGCACACTCGCACAGTTTCTCCTGCCCCTCTTCATCTCTTTTCCTCCTTCTCCTCCTTCTCCTCCTCCATGCAGGATGGTCTGAGGAGAGGAGATGAGGAGCTGTCTACCTATGCAGACGATGTGTTTGACTCTCCGTCTGAGGCCGCCATTAAAGAGGAGGAGTCTAACACAGCAGCGGATGAGAGTGACCTCACAGGTGGCGCCCTGGACAAGAACGAACTGGAGAGGAGTCACCTGATGCTGTGAGTGTAACACACAGACATCACACACGCAAGTTGTTGCTGCTACTGTAGCCCATTTCACCTAACACACACCCTCTTCTAACCCTCTCTCTCTCTCCCTCTATCTCCCCTTCCTCCGCTACCCTCTCTCTCTCCCTCTATCTCCCCTTCCTCCGCTACCCTCTCTCTCTCTCTCTCCCCCTCCCCTCTCTCTACATTCCACAGGCCCCTGGAGCGGGGCTGGCGTAAGGGTAAAGAACCTGGACCGTCTCAGGTCCAGCCCAAGGTGCGTCTGCGGCAGGAGGTGGTGAGTGTGAGCGGGCAGCGGCGAGGCCAGCGGATCACGGTGCCCGTCAAGAAGCTCTTCGCCAGGGAGAAGAGGCCCTACGGCCTAGGGATGGTGGGCAGGCTCACCAACAGAACCTACCGCAAACGCATCGACAGCTTCGTCCAGCAACAGATAGAGGACATGGACGACCACAGGTACACCTTATTGTCAATGAGGATTTTCCGATTCTTGAATTTCAATGTCGAATTCTAAATTTGCTACATTGCTATGCATTTGACTTCAACCCTGGCATGGTCACATGGTCACACTGTAACATAAAACATTTTATCACACTGCAGTCATAGCTGTAGTGGAGGTAGGAGCTGTGTTGAGTTTGTCCCAGATAAGATACAGTATGAGTCATCACAGGATAAAAGAAAGCACCTTATTCCTGGCCTCTAGATTAATAAACAAACCAGGACGGTGTGACTCAGTCACAGATGGTCGAGTCCCAGATCACCATGTGGGAAACAATGGGTTACACAGTTGTTGTCATACATTACTATCTTAGTGGATGCAGCTGTTTTCAGTGTGAAGCCCCCACTGACATACTGAGATACTGTTTCTAACAGAATAGGCAAGCTGCTGTACTATGTGAGATACCGTATTAATATTGTGTATGTGTGTTTGTGTGTGTGTGTGTGTGTGCAGGCCTTTCTTTACCTACTGGATCACATTTGTCCACCTGTTGATCACCATCCTGACTGTTTGTCTCTACGGCATCGCCCCTGTGGGCTTCTCCCAGCACGAGACCGTCGACTCGGTCAGTACAGTGACTGTTATATAATGTAGTTTGCGTTATAAAGGTTACAGTGATGGTTGTAGAGTCTTTGCTATAAAGGTTGTGCCTTATGTGATGAGTGATCCATTGTATCAATGTGTTATGTCTTTGCATTTCACTTTGTAAACCCTTTGGCTTTTCCTCTCTCTCTCTTTAGGTATTGAGAAATAAAGGTGTTTATGAAAATGTCAAGTTTGTGCAACAAGAAAACTTCTGGGTGGGACCAAATTCGGTAAGTGTAACTTTTGTTAGGCTAATGGACTTCATTTGATCATTTAAACCTATATGTCAGCTATAAGACATTGTGTTTCTATTTTAACAAACCTAACACAATGGTAAATCATAGCGCTGGCGCAATTACTGCTCCCAAACTTGATCTTTTAATAAAACTTTGGTGATTAAGATGTTTATTAATACGAGGGTTACCGGCACAAAAAGCACATCTCCTTTCTTGTTCCATGAGCATAAGACTCCTGTTTGTCACGGCTGGATAGGTTACGCTTCCGCTCACAAAATCCATGCCATTACCAACCGCGTTACCGCTAATATCTGCTTTTCGTTGGTCTTAAATCTCCTGATATGCGCTGCAGGGGTTGGAACCAAAATACCTTTTTTATCGTTTTGTTCTGAACAGAACCATCATTTTTGGGGGGTTCATTCCACTGTTCCGACCAGATTTACTTCACCAATCAGTGCAGATAGAGCAGCTTGCTATGGAGCGGGCAGGCTATAGTTGTTTACATGTGTGATGGAAAGAAAAGTGTAGGGCGCGAGATGCGATGAACATTTTGCGGGTGGGGAGAAAGCAAGAGAGGGTGGAGGAGGAAGCTTGGCTTGAAGCGCTGGGCATCTTGTTGTGACATGCATTATCTGAATTAGGCCCACAGAATTATACCTACGGAGGAGCAGCGTCAATGGAGGAACTTGCAGACTGGCACCAGAATTAAAAACACGTCAATAATCCAATATGAAATGTGATAACTATAGTATCCTTAACTAGTACTGAAAAAGTTAATCCATTCTTCTCTAATTAAAATCTCTCTCCGTATCTTCTGAATCATGCTTGTAACATCAGTAGGCTACAGTAACCTATACTTCGGAGGGGGAGGGGCAGGTAGCCTACACACGCACACACTCTGGCAAAGAGTTTCAGCTGGCAGGCAGACACTGGAAGAAGTTTCTGAGTGACAGAGGGAGAGCTTTGCATAGCTGCTTTGTTGCGTTTTATGTGGGGGGGGAAAAAATGCCGGAACGTAAAATAATGTTATTAACTGGTTCCCATGCTTTTAAAATAATGGTTCTGTTCCGGGAAAGTATAGATCACTTTCGTTCCCGGTTCTGATTCTGTTCCTTGAAAATGTTTGTTATTTTCCGGTTTCCGGTTATTTTCCCTGAACCGGTTCCAACCCCTGCTTTTGTGCTTGTTTTCAAGGACACACCACAAATATTCCCACCTCAGTGCAAGCGAGCTTATATTAGACAGGTACATTTATATTAGGACAGGTAAATTGCTGAACCTTGGGTGCAAAACGCCAGAGTACCAGTTTTTACATGCTGAAATGTAAAAACGACTGTGTTTGGCACTTGCGCTGCCATAGCACCAGCCGAAAATAGAGCCCCTTGTCTGTGTTCTGACTGCACACGCTCCCCTGGCCTGCAGGAGGCGCTGATACACCTGGGGGCTAAGTTCTCCCCCTGCATGCGTCAGGACCAGCAGGTCCATGACCTGATCCAGGAGAAGAGAGGAAGAGAGCGGGATTCAGCCTGCTGTGTGAGGAACGACCGCTCTGGCTGTCTCCAGACCTCACAGGAGGAGTGCTCTGTGAGTTACCCTGGTGTTACACTACTGTTACAGTAATTTTATGTTTAATATCCTAAAATCTGTAGCAATTAACCCCTCTCTCTCTCTCTATCTCTCTCTCTCTCCAGTCTACTCTAGCAGTGTGGGTGAAGTGGCCTCATCACCCCAGTGCTCCTCTCCTGGAGGGGAAGGTCCGTCAGCACGGCTCAGTCTGCCACCAGGACCCCAGGTAATAAACTGCCTCTCTCTCTCTCCTTCTCTTCATCCATCTCCCTCTCTTCTTCTATATTTACATTTACATTTTCGTCATTTAACAGACGCTCTTATCCAAAGCGACTTACAAATTGGATCTCCTCTTCCCTCTAGACGTTATATGTTCTTTCCTCTGTTCCTCTCTTTTCAGGATATGCCTGGAGCCAGCCTCTGTATCGCCTCACGAGTGGCCTGATGACATCACCAAGTGGCCAGTGTGTACCAGGTACAACCCAGGCAACCACACTAACCTCCCCCACGTGGACTGTGCCATCACCGGACGGCCCTGCTGCATCGGGACCAAAGGGAGGTGAGGACAGACAGTACTCTCCACAAACTGCACGGTAGTGGTGAATACTATATGACAGGGTTCCCCAACTGGCCCCTCAATTTCTCGGAGAAGAAAAAAAAAACAGTTATTTAATTTTATTATTATTTGATTGTTGGACATAAAATACTGTAAATAGACTGGTAAATCAGCTTTTCCAATTTTGGAAATCTGTTCCGAAGTATTTTCACGCATAATATAGAGATATATGTGATTGTATACAAATGTAAGCAAGGTTTGAAGTGATTATGTTTGAGTCATCTGTTTGGGCTTCTTGTGGTCAATTTGCAGTCTATAAATTATTTGTAATTATTTTCCGGCCCCCGACCATCCGCTCAAGAAAAAATCGGCCCGCAGCTGAATCTAGTTGATTATCCCTGCTATATGACTTATACAAACAATTAGCTATGTTTTGAAAGTGTGTTGCTGAGGAGCCTGTACTAGTACTTTATGCTGTTCAGTTCCCTCAGTCTTCACAGCTATAGGTAGTTGATGTTGTAATGGCTTGTGTTGTGTGTTCACTATTCAGGTGTGAGATCACGTCCAGAGAGTACTGTGACTTTATGAAGGGCTACTTCCACGAGGAGGCTACTCTCTGCTCCCAGGTGGCCTGTATGGATGATGTGTGTGGCCTGCTACCTTTCCTCAACCCTGAGATCCCAGACCAGTTCTACAGACTATGGCTCTCTCTATTCCTCCATGCTGGGTGAGTAGTGTTTCTCTGTAAAGAATATTCATTAGAATCTTTTTACACGTCTATTTTTAAAGGATAAAGCTAAGAACATTCACAACTTAATAGTTAAGAACACTATAACAATATAGAAGAATAGAGCGATACCCAATGGGCTGGACGATTGTCTTCTCATCACTCATCTTGAAAAAATGTATACTAACAACTTGGAAGTCAATCAATCCGCCATCATTGACACAATGGAAAAATTGAATGATTTATTATTGAAATATTGAAATAGCATGGGCGACCGAGAAAAACGAATTGGTAAAATGTAAGGCCACGTGGCAAACAATAATGCAGGCATTAGGGATGGGGGTGTGAGCATGTGGGACTGGGCTGATGAGATGTAGTCATTGTTTGTGTGTGTCTGTAAGTTGTTGTTCATATGTATGAGTTTGTTTTTAGAGTAAAGAAAACAAGAAAAAACTAATATATATATAAAATACTGAAATAGCAAATTTACATAAGTATTCAGATCCTTTTCTCAGTACTTTGTTGAAGCACCTTTGGCAGCGATTATATCCTCGAGTCTTCTTGGGTATGACGCTACAAGCTTGGCACACCTGTATTTGGGGAGTTTCTCCCATTCTTCTCTGCAGATCCTCTCAAGCTCTGTCAGGTTGGTTGGGGAGCGTTTCTGCACAACTATTTTCAGGTCTCTCCAGAGGTGTTCGATCGGGTTCAAGTCCGGGCTCTGGCTGGGCCACTCAAGGACATTCAGGTTTTCATCAAGGATCTCTCTGTACTTTTCTCTGTTAATCTTTCCCTCGATCCTGACTAGTCTCCCAGTCCCTGCCGCTGAAAAACATCCCCACAGCATGATGCTGCCAGCACCATGGTGTCAGATTTCTTCCAGATGTGCCGCTTGGCATTCAGGCTAAAGAGTTCAATCTTGGTTTCATCAGACCAGAGAATCTTGTTTCTCATGGTCTGAGTCCTTTAGGTGCCTTTTGGCAAACTCCAAGCGGGCTGTCATGTGCCTTTTACTGAGGAGTGGCTTTCGTCTGGCCACTCTACCATAAAGGCCTGATTGGTGGAGTGCTGCAGAGATGGTTGTCCTTCTGGAAGGTTCTCCCATCTCCACAGAGGAACTCTGGAGCTCTGTCAGAGTGACCATCAGGTTCTTGATCACCTCCCTGACCAAGGCCCTTCTCCCCCGATTGCTCAGTTTGGCCAGGCAGCCAGATCTAGGAAGAGTCTTGGTGGTTCCAAACTTCTTCCATTTAAGAATGATGGAGGCCACTGTGTTCTTGAGGACCTTCAATGCTGCAGACATTTTTTGGTACCCTTGGCCAGATCTGTGCCTCGACACAATCCTGTCTTGGAGCTCTACGGACAATTCCTTCGAACTCATGGCTTGGTTTTTGCTCTGACATGCACTGTGAACTCTGGGACCTTATATGGACAGGTGTGTGCCCCTGCCAAATCATGTCCAATCAATTTCATTTACCACAGGTGGACTCCAATGAAGTTGTAGAAACAGTGGACATCAGGAAGCAAACAGGATGCAGGATGCACCTGAGCTCAATTTCGAGTCTCATAGCAAAGGGTCTGAATAGTTATGTAAATAAGGTATTTCTGTTTTTTGTTTTTTATACATTTGCAAAAACAAATTAAAAACCTGTTTTCGCTTTGTCATAATGGGGTATTGTGTGCAGATTGATGAGGGAAAAAATGAATGTAATCAATTTTATAATAAGGCTGTAACGTAAACTGTAGAAAAAGTGAAGGGGTCAGAATACTTTCTGAATGCACTGTATATATATATATATATATATATATATATATATTGGTATTAGACAAGTTGTGTTCAATATGTTTAAACTCTGTCCTGCACAATGTCCTGCATGATGTGTCAAACATCCTGAATAAATTAGGAGGCTACTGTATTTGGCCAGAAAATTGTATTTTTAAGTCTCAAATGGTATGTGCATGCGCAACCTGTAGACGTTTGTTGGTCTCGTGTATCGTGAGTCAGCTTTGTTCCTGGGCATTAGTGTGCTACACACATACCAGTCGGCGCACTAGCTCTGTTAACCACTGTTGCTTGTGCAGCTAGTTAGTACACACTAGCTAGGTTAGGTAGCTAGTACACGCTAGCTAGCTAGCTAGTATACGCTAGCTAGCTAGTACCTAGCTTTTAATTATAAATCTAATTTCACCACTCGTACTGTTGGTGGCGGTAACGCACCATCCTCTCTGGCACCATTCGACATCCTGTCTCATCTCGTATGTCTCACAGTGTCTGTAGTATGAAAAAGTATCTGCTGGAGACAGACCCTATTGGAAAATCATATAGTTTGTAACCTGCTGAGGCTCGCCATATGTCTTTCTTTATTTGCTAATATGTATCCCTGTAGGATCCTGCACTGCCTGGTGTCGGTGCTCTTCCAGATGACCATCCTGAGGGACTTAGAGAAGCTGGCCGGCTGGCTGAGGATCTCTATCATCTACATCGTCTCTGGAATCACTGGCAACCTGGCCAGCGCTATCTTCCTGCCCTACAGAGCAGAGGTACAGTACTGTAGATACACTGACCATATAGGTCTAGTGATGTCACTGGTATAATGATGGGAGATTTGTTTGATTATGATACTATGGACCCATAATAAACAAGAATCTAAAATGTAATTTAATTTGTTTTATTGTCATTCCACTGGCTGTCCCTTAGGTGGCAGGAGGCCAAGTATTCAGCTGCCAATATGTGTCTCTCTCTCTTTCTGTTCTCCTGCTCCCTCTCCCCCTTCCTCCCCAGGTGGGTCCAGCTGGCTCTCAGTTTGGTATCCTGGCCTGTCTGTTTGTTGAGCTGTTCCAGAGCTGGCAGATCCTGGAGCGTCCGTGGAGGGCTTTCAGCAAGCTGCTGTGTGTCGGCATCTTCCTCTTCTCCTTCGGCCTGCTGCCCTGGATAGACAACTTCGCCCACATCTCCGGATTCATCTCTGGACTCTTCCTCTCCTTCTCCTTCCTGCCATACATCAGGTGAGAGCTGGTTTGATTTAGTCATATTTTTGGGGATTTTTTGTGTATGTAATATAAAGCGCTTTGAACTACTTTTAAAAATAATAATAATGTGGCTCAGTTCTAAATGGCTCAGTTGGTTCTGGGTTTGAGGCCACATATACCTGAATCAATTATGTTTTACTAAAACTTTAAGTTACTTTGGGTAATATTTTTTATATGTTTTATTATTACATTGAATGAAAATATGGCCTCAAGGGTATGCTATACCCTGTAATATGTAAAACACTAATATTGATTTTATGATCCTATTCTTCTTATTATTTCCAGTTTTGGCCGTTCGGACATGTACCGTAAACGTGTCCAGATCTGTGTGTTCCTGTTGGTGTTCCTGGGTCTCTTCTCAGGGCTGGCTGTACTGTTCTACGTCCACCCGGTCAAGTGTGAGTGGTGTGAGTACCTCACCTGTATTCCCCTCACTGACAAGTTCTGTGACAAGTACGACCTCAACGCCCACCTCCACTGACCAGGCCTTTGACTGTACAACTACAATGACTAGAATGGACATTCTCAAAGAAGTATAGCCTCACGCACCAGGAAATCAGGACACAAGGCTCGGCTGGTGAACAAGACTAGGCTCTAAGCAACGTCACGGCATGGACCGGACCGGCGGCAATATTTGGTGTAGCATTCAGGACATTGGACATGAAGATTGCCAATCTTGGAAAAATATCTGTTGATCTTAATAACTGTTAAACTGTTGATCTGTCTCCATTCAGTTTTGTTGATATGGACATTGCTAGCGAGTGACCTGTCACTTTCAAAGCATAAAGACTTAAAGAGCAAGAGGGGGGAGAAGGGGGTTATATGTGACTGTGATGCCTTGCCACTGATCCCACTCCTCTCGCTGCTCTTATTAAAAACAGACCCAACAGCACCACTTTGTGGCCATCAGACCACATAACAGCCCCTGACTTTACACACAGCTGTGGAGGGATTTTGTTTTGTATTTTTCTACACACGTCATAAAGCTGACTAAAAGTTTTATCGGTTTATTGGATGACCTCAGACAGGGAGCTATCTCACAGGAAAGAAAAGGGATGTTTAGTACCGTAGGATGACTGCCTCTGGTGCCTTGGTCATTACTGCCATATCTACAGTACCAGACAAAAGTTGGGACACACCTACTCATTCAAGGGTTCTTCTTTATTTTTACTATTTTCTACATTGTGGAATAATAGTGAAGGTATCAAAACTATGAAATAACACATATGGAATCATGTAGTAATCATGTAGTAAATATATTTAATATTTGAGATTCTTCAAATAGCCACCCTTTGCCTTGATGACAGCTTTGCACACTTGGCATTCTCTCAACCAGCTTCACCTGGAATGCTTTTCCAACAGTCTTGAAGGAGTTCCCACATATGCTGAGCACTTGTTGGCTGCTTTTCCTTCACTCTGCGGTCCGACTCATCCCAAACCATCTCAATTGGGTTGAGGTCGGGGGATTGTGGAGGCCAGGTCATCTGATGCAGCGCTCCATCACTCTCCTTCTTGGTAATATAGCCCTTACACAGCCTGGAGGTGTGTTGGGTCATTGTCCTGTTGAAAACAAATGATAGTCCCACTAAGCCCAAACCAGATGGGATGGCGTATCACTGCAGAATGCTGTGGTAGCCATGCTGGTTAAGTGTGCCTTGAATTCTAAATAAATCACAGACAGTGTCACCAGCAAAGCACCCCCACACCATAACACCTCCTCCTCCATGCTTTAAGGTGGGAAATACACACGTGGAGATCATCCGTTCACCCACACCGTGTCTCACAAAGGCACGGCAGTTGGAACCAAAAATCTCAAATTTGGACTCCGGACAAAGGACACATTTCCACCGGTCTAATGTCCATTGTTCGTGTTTCTTGGCCCAAGCAAGTCTCTTCTTATTATTGGTGTCCTTTAGTAGTGGTTTCTTTGCAGCAATTCGACCATGAAGGCCTGATTCACACAGTCTCCTCTGAGCAGTTGATGTTGAGATGTGTCTGGTACTTGAACTCTGTGAAGCAGAGGTAACTCTGGGTCTTCCATTCCTGTGGCGGTCCTCATGAGAGCCAGTTTCATCATAACGCTTGATGGGTTTTGTGGCTGGACTTCAAAGTTCTTGATATGTTCCGTATTGACTGACCTTCATGTCTTAAAGTAATGATGGACTGTTGTTTCTCTTTGTTTATTTGAGCTGTTCTTGCCATAATATGGACTTGGTGTTTTACCAAATAGGGCTATCTTCTGTATACCCCCCGAACCTTGTCACAACACAACTGATTGGCTCAAACACATTAAGAAGGAAAGAAATTCCACAAATTAACTTTTAAGAAGTTAACACCTGTTAATTTAAATTCATTCCAGGCGACTATCTCATGAAGCTGGTTGAGAGAATGCCAAGAGTGTGCAAAGCTGTCATCAAGGCAAAGGGTGGCTATTTGAAGAATCTCAAATATAAAATATATTTTGATTTGTTTAACACTATTTTGGTTACATGATTCCATATGTGTTATTTCATAGTTTTGATGTCTTCACTATTATTCTACAATGTAAAAAATAGTACAAATAAAGAAAAACCCTTGAATGACTAGGTGTGTCCAAACTTTTGACTGGTAGTGTAGGTCCAAGTCTCAAATGGCACACTATTCTCTATACCAGAGGTTCCCAAACTTTTTCACTCAGTCCCCCCTTCCAGCATTGGGGAACATCTCACAATGGCACAAACACTGTTCATGACACAAACTGTTCACACCCCTCTTGTTGGCGGAGAGGTTTAAAGCGTATTCCCTGAAATTGTATACATTTTGCCATGTCTAATGTGTATTCATGTGACATTTGAGTGACTCAAACATTACAACAAAATGTATAGGCTAAAAAACCTGGCTTAGATGACATGGGCTAGTTGATCTGGATATTGCTGATCCCAATTTCGAAAATGCACCTTTTGCATTCTACTATTACAACTTTCAAGAGTAAATTGAAAGCCGGTCTGTTTTAATTGTTATGTTTGTTTTTGTTTTTGGGGGGGGTGTACCCTGCGCCCCTCCTGCCGACCCCTCGCACCCCCCCCCCCCCAGGGGAACAACTGCTCTATACAGTGAACTATATAGGGAATAGTGTGTCATGTGCATTATGTTACACTAGACAAAACCCTTGTAGGTTAACATGTATACTGCTGTCTAAGTAGTGGTGAGTGTTTGGAGGGTAGCGTTTTAGCTACCTGCTTATCTGTACCTGACAATACAGCAACACAAACTGAAACTTTCTGTCTGTGTGTCCAGTTTATTTCTGTTGTGTGAATGTGTGTGTGTGAGGGATCTGAAACTGTCTTGTGCCTTGTTGCACATGCATGTTTCCCCCAGTAGATGACAGAGTTGCTTTGAGTAAATGTATACACTCACTAACTGTAAGTCGCTCTGGATAAGAGTGTCTGCTAAATGACTAAAATGTAAAATGTAAAATGTAAATGGCTGCTATCAGGGACATGTAACATACACAAGATGCATATCTGATGTCGTCAAATACCCTTCAACAAACTTAGTCTAAATGGCTGTTAAAGTAAGATATATAATGCATACATTGTGTGCATAGAAACATTTTCTGCCAGGGAATTTGTAGGCTAATGATGACTACAGACCCATGTTGTTCCATGGCTCTGGCCTCATGATTTGAATGTCTGATATTTTTATCCCACACAACTCTTAATGGTGCACTTCAAGACATTTATTTTGTTGTTTACTAATTCTCTCTGCCTCTCCTTGAGTCGCAAGCCCCTTCCCATGCATTCACACACGCATGCGCGCGCACACACACACACACACACTCTGTAATTTATGGTGCACTTCAAGTCCTCTGTCTTTTGTCGTTTAGTAATTCTCTCTTCCACCCCCCTCTCCTTCAGTCCCCCCCCCCCCACACACACACACACGCACACACACACACTGAGTCTAATTCAAAGTTAATTAGTGTGTACACTCCACTCAAGCCTCCTGTCGAAGGAAAGCTGAATATGACAGACCCTTATTTGCAGCCAAGGTATAATAGCTACGTAGTATGTTTAGGTGCTATTCCATGAATCTCACCTTACAGATGCTTCTCTGCCTGTAGATTGTATGCCATATTACATTCACACATCCAGCCCTTTTAGATGGGACTAGTTTAGGCTCACTTTCTCCTCTCAACTGTATGTATTTTCTATCGTATACCTCTACCCCTCAAAACGTCTCTCTCTCTCTCTCTCTCTTTCTTTCTTTTTCTCCCGTTCTCTCTCTAAGACAGTTGAACAGCTGAGGGGGGCACACAGTGCCATTAAACTTTCCCAGCTTCTCTCTTCCCATCCTATCCTCCCCTCCATCCCCTCCCTCTCTCCTCCATCCATGGCCCTATAGAGATGCTAATTTTAAGTGGGCTATACCCCTCCCTCTCCCAGTCCTCTCCTGCCCCTCTCCTCATCAGCCGACTAGATGACCTCTGTCTGATTAGCAAACTGCACTGGGTCATATGGATCAAAGAGAGGGACATGCTGTCTGGTCTTTTTAACTCTTTCTCTGTCTTTCTCGCTCTCGCTCTCTCACTCTATCTTTCTCTCTCTCCACTCTAGTTAAGTAAATGTTTTATAAATGTTCTCTGTCTGTGTCTTATTTGGACATTAGTCATTGGTCGCCCTTTACAATGCATACCCACTTTAATCACTCCTTCCATGGAATAACCATAGTGGAAATGTTATGTCTGTCTTTCCAATCCTAAGCCATTGTCTTACATCAGATAGCGCAACGCAGTGTTCTAGGACTTGAGTCCAGAACTCGAACTTGACCAGTAGTGATGTTGTCAGAAAATCTTTCTCCCTTGCTTAATTCACTGCAGTAGCTACTGTATTAGCTAGCTAGCTCTACTAATATGCAACACCGTCAGCTAGCTTTCTACATTATGAAATGTAACTTCATAGATTGCTGGACCGCAGCTTTTAGCCTATCAAGGGACTCACGACTCGACTTGGGACTCTGTACGACTCTGACTCCAACGCTAGGGACTTTGGACTCAATTCGGACTCAAGGTGTAGGGACTTAAGGAACCATTGTATGGGTAGTTAATTTAGTTAAATTGCTACAATTTAAACTGCTCAATCCACTCCAACTTAATGTTTGTGTGTAAGTGTGTGTGTATATTTGAGGGGTTGTGAAAAAAGCTGAAGACAAATTTCCGTCCCGTATAGACTAATAAAGTATATATTCTATTAATCTTATCTCTTATGAAAGGGAATTTTAACTGTATCTCCTTTTAACCATGTCAATGGTCTAAAAGGAACTTTACCTGCTGTGATCTTTGTCACCATTTAGTGATGGAGGAAACAATTGAGATCTGGATGAATAGAAACTGCAATCAACGACATGACCTGGGAAAATGTTTCGCCCTGTTTGTAACACCTGCTCGTCTCTCCACCCAACGGTGCCCACTGCCCAGTAAACTCTTGTTGCTCATACTAG